AACATTTAATAATATTTATTTTAGAGTAAACTTAACCGAATTCTCTCTATCGATCTATAACTCCAAAAATCTATCTCTGGGTATTAATACTACTTTTTCATCATAGAAAATTTCTCTGATTTTACTTAAGTCAAAAGTCAGCCCATAAACAGTTTATTTTGACTTTCCCCAAGTAGTATATGAATAGGCTTTAAATTCTATTAAAGCCAATCTTTTTATTTTTTGGGGACAGAATTATTTTTAAAACTTGTGATAATTCCTGACGTGTTATCTCCAATTTTTCTCCAATTATCTAAGGCCTCCTCATATTTTAAATAATTCAATTTCTGCTAATATTCATAATTAGCCAAAGTCCTAGGAATTTCATCAATTTGCTCTACAGGTATTTTCGTCATTTTTAACCCCATATGGGCCTCAAAACCTTATTTCCTATTTTTCTGGAATTTTTTGAAATTTTCGGGCATACTTTCCATTACTGCCCTTTTTGGCCCGAAATTTTCTGAAATTACGATAGGTCCCTACTCAGGTTTAACCTCAGGAATCATCTTACTAAGGTTCACAGCACAACCTTTGGCTCTTAATCATCTCCAATGTCCTTACTTGAGCCCTGGAGACTTCATCAAGGTCTCTAACTTGCTTGTCTCGTGGTTCCAAAAAATTCTTACTTTGCAGTTTGGTCCCTGGGAATTAGAGCTGGGAATCAGGGCCGACCCTTCAGGGCTAGTGGGCTTAAAAGGGCCGGCCCTCCAGGGCTGAAATTTTAAAAATACCCCAATTTGCTAGGCCCGGCCCTTAAGCTACAGGACCAGGGCCAGCCCGCGGGTTTTTAGCCCGTTTAAGAAAAAATACTATTTTTTTATATTTATCATATTTTTTTATAAAAATATAAAAATAAACCAATAAAATTATTAATAAAAGACATAAATATGAATAAAATTAAGTTACAAATATAAAATATCATCATATATAAATATTCATCAACATCTAAGGACATCTAAAACATTCATTAACAAGATAACAACATCTAAAAGTTTTATCTATAATGCAATTGTGCAATAAATAAACACTATCATTAATCTTTTGAAACTTCATCATCACTATAATTAATTACTTTTCTTCATAAGTATGATTTTCTTTCGTAACAAAAATATCAAGTTTTTCTTCTTTATAAGAATTTTATTTTTAAATTTTGTAATCTAACTATTATTTTACTTTAATGTGAGAAACATTGTTGTTGAAACTCATGAATTTCTAATTCAAATTATAGAATCACAAGTTATATAAGTATAAAAAAATTCTATTATCAAATATATATATATTTTAAAAATATCAACGCATATAATATAAATCAAATCATTATTAAAGTCCAAATTAACCTATTTTTTAAAAATTTAATTGGATAAATTACTGTCTAAAACTAAATTTAATTTTAAAATGATAATAATAACTAAATATTTGAAATATTATTAACAATGTAAAAAATTAATAACATTAATATTATAAAAAAATAAAAAAAATAAAAAAATTATAAAAGGGCTTAAAAGGGCCGGCCCGCGGCCCTCCAGGGCTGGTCCTTTTAAGCCCTCGGCCCTCCAGGGCCAGCCTTTCAGGGCTTATTTCTCATTTTAAGAGAAAAATATCAAGCCCAGCCCTCATAATTTCAGGGCCTAAACAGGCCGGCTCGATGGGCTCGGCCCGTTTTCCCGGCTCTACTGGGAATCCTCTTGTCCATCTAGGGAGCCTCTAGAATTCCTGCCAAAAGGAGTCAAATAGCCTTCCTGCCTTGGACTACTTCCTGTGCTTCAAACACCAAAATTTGGGATGTTACAATTTTTCCCCTCTCAAAAAAAATTTTCGTCCTTAAAGCTTCGAGATTAAACCCCAACTCAACTATTTTTCAAGGGTTTCTTATAAAGAATATCCCTTTTTATACCTAATCTTGGCACTCTAACTCCACTTCCACTTCTCCTGGCTAGGTTTCCATCCTGGGTTCTAATCTTTTACGTTATGGCTTTACGTGCCTCCGGGCATTTATAGGGGTACAAATTGTGTTCTGAGCATGCTTTCGGTTCTTTAGGCATATTTACCCATAATCGTGCGTTCATACCATGTTCCTTCTCATATGACATTTTGGGTTTCCCTTTCTGCATCCTCAATAGGTACTTCCTATATCTTACTATCATAGACCCTTCTCATTCTATCACGGGTGGGTCTATTCTATTTTTCTCACCCTGAACAGCTTTAATCAGAGGGTTCACTACCTTTTCTCTCATTTCATACTTAGCTTGCCTGAATGTACAACGTTCAGGACTTACAACTCTCCACTCCTTTTTACTTGTACTGCTCTTTCTTTCCCTTGTGGACTAGAATAGAATTGAGCTCAGTCTAGTCAACAATAAAGGTATCTGGCAACAAGTCAAAAGTACTATTTTTGTATTAGTTAACCAACCTAAGGAGGTTTTCACATCTTAAACTCATCCTAGGTCATCCTATTCTCATTCCCAAAGAGATAATATTCCCTTATTCTGATGGCTCAACAATTCCTTAAGCTTGGTTCACTACGACTTTGGGACCTACCCTACTCTACTGCAAGTCTTATTAGGAGCTACTGCGCTCTACCATAAACCTCTTAATAACTTTCCTTAGGCTGGGTCTACCATGACCTCAGGAGCCACTATGCTCTATTGCCAGCCCCTTTAGGATCCATTATGAACTTGGAATACTATAACTCATTTGAGCCATGTTTTACTCTTTGGGAGATTTTAGACCATAAGAGTGAGTTATATAATAAGTCACCTCCACTCAGTCAGTAACTTGACTGATTATTCCCCAAGACTAAACCTAGATGCCAATATTGTCTTTTTAGGCCTTACTCAATCCTTTTTGCCAACTCTAAAATTGTTTGCTATAGGGTATCTTCATAACCCTCAACTTTTCAGCTCCCTCAAACCATTCTTCATTTTATGCTAATATGCCTTTTCTTACTATGCTCGCTATTCCTCACAGGCTTGGAATAGCATAAAGAGAGGACTTATCATTGATACTTTGTTTCTGCCTAAGGAATATTTTACCATCGCATTACTCTTGACCCGTTTCACTCTCATTGGGGTAAGGTCAACTCCACAAGGCTTTTCTGACCCACTATTACTCTTCTTATAGGAGGAGGTATTGCTTTCCTTTAAAGCAATGTCAACTCAACGACTCTCTACCTTTCATGGAGGGCATATTGCTTTTACTGGTACAGCACTCTCCGCTTTGGGAGGATACATTATTAATATATTACTTTTACCAGTATGGCATCAACTCTATTATTTAGGAGGATGAATTACTTTCTTCACAGCAATGTCCACTCTATCATAACTGTTTCCCCTTTCTTTTCTTCAGAGGATAGCTCACCTCCAATCAAGCAGCATCAACTCTAATTCGAAGGATCAGCTCCTAATCTCAGAGAGGCATTTTGTGGCCAAGATCTTTCTCATACCTAATCTCTAGTTGGGCGCCATATCCTTATTAAAAGGAGCCTCTCAACCTGACTTATTCAGTCACTTTGCTAGTGGCAATAATCTATAGGAATCCCAAACATTATTTATTCAGTCTTGGGTTTAACCTCAAGAATATTCTCATTGAGGTTTCCAACACAACCCTTAGCTCTTAATCATCTCTACTTCCCCTACTTAAGCTTTTGAGACTTCATCAAAGTCTCTAACTTGCCTGTCCTATTGTTTTAGAAAATTCTTACTTTACAGTTTGGTCCTTTGGAATCCTCTCATCCTTCCAGGGAACCTCTGGAATTCCTGCCAAAAGGAGTCGAATAGCTTGCTTGTCTTAGACTACTTCCTGTACTTCAGAGCCCAAACTTCATGATGTTACAATTGCCTATCCACTGTGATATTATTCCCCACAACTCCTCAAGTGTTATCCATTCTTTCATACTATCACCCTCACACTTCCTGTAATATATTTAACTTTACCTCCATCATTTGTTTCAAAATGTCCACCGACATAGAAATAACAGAACAATTCCTTTCCAAAGGCTGTCCCATTATTAAAATATATTTTTCATACTAACCTACAACAACAATTTACATTTAATCATGTATCAGTCTCAATATAATTTTATTCCATCAACTCAATCATTTACACGGAAAAAGTAAAACCAATAACCTCTTTTCTTACCAAGTTGACACTAGGGTTTTATAACTTTAGCATTTAAAATGAAAACATCCCGATTCCTTCCCTCTACTATAATCCCTGAAATTTCATACTCAAACTAACAACCATTACTTTTTTCCATTTTTCCTCCCATACTCCACCATTCCTCATATCATAACCCCTCTTCATTGCAACCAACCCACAGAAATCATAGATGAACTATCAGACTAGAAAAACAAAAATATCTTATCTCAAACTAACCACAACCTCCTCTAACTAATATCTTCTATCACCTTCACCTCTTATACTCTCTCAATGTATAACACTTGGCGACTAATAATGGAACTCACAAAATTGAAGAACAATATCATATTGCTCAATCTTAAATAAAAAAATAGAAGGAAAGTGTAATTAGAAACATTACTCACTTAATTTCTAGGCTTGGAAGCTGCAAAATATGTCGTCTGTTCCTTCTCTTCTTGCTTCTGGCATGAATTTTGTCTTTGCCTACATAAATGGTTTTTAATAACAGAGAAGCATTTAGTTTTTTAGGCATGATTTGCTAATTGCAATTTAAGATTTGGTCTCCCAAGACAATTTAATTTATTAACATACCCATTTCATAATTTCATATATTTATGGGTTTTTATTGTGATTTTTCTGATGGTTTATTCGCTAGAAAATACATTTATTTGAATGAATTTTTTATTTTCGGGCGATTTTCATAGCTGAGATGGATCGTATGATTTTTTTAAGATAAAAAAACTTTAAAACTGAAACCCACAAAATTGGGTTTCTTCATAAGATTTTCCCAAAATAGGATGATTCCTTAGAAAGCAGAAGACATTTCATCTGAGTGAAAGCTAGCCTCAAAAAGAGCCAGCCTGTTCGAATCCAACGTGATTGAATCTGTTGGCTAAATTTCTTGACCTCGAAATTCAAATGGATGGTCCTCGTCATCATCGTCTTCCTATCCCATTCTTCTAAATATATATTCCATTTTTTTCTCTTTCAATTGATCATGCCTTTTGTCCCTCACTGCATCACTTGCGGAGGCAAATTGAAGAATCGCCTGGGCTACGCACGGTGGTGAAGGTGGGGTGTGGTTGTTCTTCAGAGAAAAGTCAGCCTCTAAAGCAACCCATTGATTTCGATCTCGCCGCACCGCCTACACCTTCGTACCTTTGTTAAACTGAACTCATGTTTTCCTTTTACTTTTCTCCGTGTCTGTCCTTGGATTTGAGTTTCTAGATCTGGGTTTGTCTTCATTTGATTAATTTTTTTGGGGGAATGGATTGCGTTGTTGGAATTTTCGCCATGAGGATTATATGTGAACTGCATTCTAACTCTTTTGTGACTTGCATTGGAAATTTTTTGTGTACTGGGTTTTAATTGCTGCGAAGTATTTATGATGGGTTGCTTTGTGCCATTTCATTCTGCTTCTTGATTGAATATCTGATTGCATTTTGAAACTAGGCTTGTTGTTTCTTCTGATTCTGAGGATCTTCTGCAAAGAGTTGGTGTTGTTGTAGATAGTTCTTTTTCGTATGCCTACAGGGTTTGATAATTGAAAGGACATATTTTCTTTCAGTAATCGTTTGGTGTTTCTTATGAATGATACATTAAATTGTCTATTTATTTGCAGCCGTGTCGTTGGTACTAAGCTTCTACATAATATTTTGATTGATAACGCTCCTATATCCTTCAATTTTTGGAAGGTCAGAATCTATGCTTCTTGATCTGGAAGAGGAAACCATTTGGTTCCAGTTCATCAGTTCCCTAACCTATTAGACGAATGCTGCTAAGTTGTTTTTCTTTGTTACCTACCAATTTATTATTACATACTTGCTTGCATTCTAATTTTTTTAATTTTGTTCTACCCTCATCTGCAGTCCCAAGATGGTTGCACAAAATTTTGAAGTTGATCTTAACAAGCCCCTTGTTTGCCAGGTACGGATAATATTTGTGGCCTGTCTAGCAGTAGGTTTTTTTTTTTTTTTAATAATTTTCCTAAAATCTACTAGTGGGTTAAAAAGATTAAGGGGCAGGATTGGAAGATCAAACCACTATTACAATATAAAAATTGAGATATATGTGTGCAGAGGAAGTCATAGATCAGGATAATACAATCAAAATTGTGTACAATTTACTCAGAAAATATATAATTTAAATAAACATGACTCTGACACTCCCATAAAACTTTTTACAGGTTGGTTATCTTGGAGAAGCCTATGAAGAGTGGGTTCACCAGCCAATTATTAGCAAGGAAGGACCTCGATTTTTTAAAAGTGATTTTATGGAGGTATAACCTCTAACTATACGTGGAAAGTAAAATAATCTTCAGGTCATAAGTTCACACTTATTCAGATTTCTTGATGTTGAATATATTGAAAGATTATGGTGTTTGGTGTACTGTTAACTGCATGTAACAGTTCTTGACACGCACAGTCTGGTGGGCAGTTCCAGCTATTTGGTTGCCAGTTGTGTGTTATTCTATTTCTGTCTCTGCAAGAAAGGGCCTTGCACCCTCTCATGTGGCTCTCCTGGTGATCCTGGGTCTTTGCATTTGGACTCTGGCTGAATACACTCTACACCGTTTCCTTTTCCACATCAAAACATCAAGCTATTGGTAGATCTCTCTCTTTTCCCCCTGTCTCTGTGCATGTACGCGTGGCCCTCCCCTTTTTCTTGTGTTGTATATTTTGTTGTTTTTATTTCCATTTGGATGCATTGATGGACAAACTTCTTAACGGGTAGAGAAACACTGGCACTATTTTGGTTCATTTATTTATTTAATTTGGATTTGGATGATTATTTGTTCTAGGGGAAATACCTTACACTATCTTGTTCATGGTTGCCACCATAAGCACCCCATGGATGGCTTGAGACTTGTTTTCCCGCCAGCTGCAACAGCTATATTACTTGTCCCGGTATGTCCTTTCGGCAAAATCCTCATTAAGTCTTGAGAATTTGACCTTTTTTTCCTATTCTACACAAAAAGTATGTTGTTTTACTTCTACCTGACTCCCTTTTTTGGGGCCAAACAGTAAAGCCTTATTCATTCCTGATAATTGGATGGAAATTTGATCACAAATTATTGCTCAAGATTAATGTGAATACTGTCATTATTATGCTACAATATCTTCCTTGACGTGTTTACATAGATGTTTTTCACATTGATCTGAACTGCTAATTTGTGATGTTATTACCTCCTCGCTCAGGTCTTACATAAGATTTTCGTTTCACTTAATATACATTATTGAAATAGGTAACTGCCTTAGTAGCTTTCCTGTTTATAAAAGGCTGCATCAGTTGATTTGTTTGCTTTGTCCAGTTCTGGAACTTAATCAAGCTCTTATCCACCCCTTCAACTGCTCCAGCATTACTTGGTGGTTGTTTATTGGGTTATGTGATTTATGATTGTACCCATTACTACTTGCATCATGGTCAGCCAAAGAGTCATGCACCCAAAAATCTCAAGGTAAAAGCACTTCCTGCGGTAACTGTTGATTTCAATTAAATACCATAATATCTTCACCAAGCTGCTATATTAGTAATTTTTATTTAGAGAAGTTTTTATTATAGATTGCCATTTATCAGATGCATTGCACAACATCCCAAATATTCAAATGTCTAGTCAAAATTGAAATAATCATGTTTGATGGAATAATACGGTATTAGCTGATGGTTGGCGGCTAGGATTTGATGAGTAAACATCTTTCAAATTTTCCCATTAGAATTAATTTTGACGTAGGAAAATTTTTTGATTAGAGACTGGAACACCAAGTGCAGGCCCTGTGGACATAGACGCATTCTTTTTCAACCATTATTTTCTGGGCTCTTTGAATGGTTTATAAACATTGAGATGATATATTTTTGATATATTTTTTCTTCTACTCCCTTCTTGGAAAAATTTATAGCTAGATTCTTATTTTTGGTATCATCACTTCATTGTTGACATATGTTAAAACCCCCCGGGATGGGAGATGCAAATGCCACCTTCATGTTTGAAATATATGGTCGCATACCTCCTTAAACATGGAAAGTTAAAAAAATTATCTTCCTCAACTATCACCATGCTGGATAAATAAATTAAGAATAGAAGAGTCAGATGCTATAGTATCACCAATATTGGCACCAAATTTTTGAACTTGGTGACTGAAAAGGGAATTAGGATTAGGGAAAATAAGTAGTGGGAGACATGGCCTTCCCCAACAGCGGGCCTATGTTTTTGGTTGTTGAACCAAGTTTTTTCTAAAAAGAATGTATAGTTTATGGCGATTGTTTTTGAAATTTGAGGGCCAAAAACATACCATCAGGAATGAATATTTTTTGCATCGCAGCATCTTACTCTATTTTTCTGTACTGCAAAAAAAAAAAAAAAATGAATTCTTTACCACATTATCAGATGTGCCAGCTCAAACAGTTAGTTCTTGTTTCTGGATGAATAAAAGTATGCCATGCGACAAATGTGAGTTTAAGTGGCATATATTTGCTGCTACTCACAAGATTAAGTTATATGGACAAAATTGTATAAATCAATGTTGAGAAAATAAGACTGGCCATTGAACCAGTGAAGAAACGGGCTCGGGATTCAATGATCAAATAATGGTCTGAATGGTGGTCAAACGGGTTCATGAATAAATTAATATATTTAATATAACATGTGCTTAAAATAAATAGAAGCAATTGTCCATAATAATATAAATAAATATTTAAATAAAAATAATATATAATTTAAAGCAGGCAATATCTATCCATACTCCGTTGCTCTCATCCGAAATGTATACTTATTTCATAATTTATAATTTATAGCTCTAAAATACATATATACTACTTCTGATCCTTAATATAAGACTTTATTTGATTTTTATTTTAGTCTTAAATATAAGATCCCAATTCATTTTGTCTCTTATATTTATGTATTTTTTTTTAAGATAATCTTTCTTCTAGTCAATATACTTGATTAGTAAGGATATTTTATGAAAGACAACATCCATTTATTACAAATAACTAACTTAATTTATTTTCTTAATCTCTTCAAATTAGTCAACTAGCGCTTATAATTAGAACCGGCAATAGTATATAGATATTCTTGCATGTTTGTTCAAATTTCTTCATTTCCCAACGCTTGGTAGATATGGGTATGTATAAATTGTAGCTTAGAAATATGGATTAAAATTTAAAAAGATAAAAAAAAAAATATGTGAACAGTTCAACCACCGCTTGTAAGAATTTTGAGTAGTTTGAGGCAGGTTTGGCCGGTTTTTTGGCCTACTGTTTCTGTGCATTATCAAACGGGTATGGGACCAGTTTCCGGTTCAACCGATCAAACTGGCTGATTCAGTTTGGTTCTTACAACGTTGGTATTAAATCTTAAGTGATTGTTGAGGGGGATGGTTTTGGGTTTTCAGAAAGTATGGCTTTCAAATTAAGGTTTCAACTTTTGGATGCTGCCAAAACGAATAACGATGAAAAGGGTGTTTGCAATTTGTAGTAAACCAGAAGCCAAATAATCTACTTCCCCTGTTAATGTTGCAGAAGTACCACTTGAACCATCACTTTCGCATGCAAAACAAAGGCTTTGGGATCACTTCACCACTGTGGGATAGGATCTTTGGGACGCTGCCTCCATCACTAATAGGTGGTGTAAAAAGTAGATAAGTTGCTGTCAATGCCACTGTTTGGTTATTCAGCAAATTCAGAGGTCTGACAAATACACATGTAGTGTTTACTACTTGTCAATTGGATTTTGTTCTCGATTGATGTTTTCGAGGTTTACTATGCCTGTCTTGTGCTAATTTTCGTGGTGTCTCCATCATGCAATTGAACAGTGTGAAAGTGTTATTATATTATTTATCAGATTTAAATCAGAAACTCTCAGATCAATTTTTGCTTTTAGCTTGAGGCCTTATTGCAGGAATATCATTACTCCATATAACTAATTTAACTGGGTTATTAGTGTAACCGAAAGAGTGGATTTTTCATTTTTCTTTATTTGCATCGTCTGAGGTTGTAAGGACCTGTTTGGCACGTTCAAGATCTTAGGAAAAGGAAAATCCATATTTTCTATCAATTTAACACCTTTGATGGCACAATCTTTTTGCAAGCCATTTTCCGGTGGTGGGGCATTTTCCTTTATAGCCCGTTTGGTTCTTGCGTGTAAGTGGATTCCCTGTAATCCCAGTACATTTTGCTATTCTCATTGTTTGGTTTTTTTGTTTTTTGGCCAAAAATTGTTTGGTAGGTCCTAGGTAATGTAAATGAGATTACATTATGTAAAGGAGATAATCTCAAATGCTGGAATTTGGATTACATCAATGGACTTGTGTAATCCCCATTCCCACTTCCTTTATTCAATAATACCCCTCCCAATTTGGGTGCCCCTCCTCCCACCCTCTTCCTCTCTTCCACCAGCATTTTCCATCTTCCACATCTCCTCCACCAGCGGCACTCCTCCACCAGCGTCACTTCACCATTTTTTTTGATGATCGCGAAGTTTTCAACACTGATATTCTCCTCCTCTTGCAACACTTTTGTTCTGCCCACAACTGCCAACCTGTTCCTCCTTGCACCACTGTCGTTCTTCTCCGGTTGTAGACCTTGTTCTTCTCCACGACCATTGTTCACATTCGCCATTGTTCCCTTCTTAAATTCTGCACTGTACTCGTCATTCATATCTCTTTCTTTCCCATTAACATTCTTCTCTAGATTTCATTTTTAATCCTCATCTTCAAATTCTTTTTTCATATTGTGGGTTTTTGGGTTTGATTATGTTGCTATGTATTTTGGTAGATTCTGATAAGCAATGGTAATGTACGGTTGGGAAGCATTAAAAGAAAGAGGAAGATCGGGAAGGTTTTTTGTCTTCTTTGTCTTCTGACCAAGGCTACAATGGTCATTTCACAATTCTTTTTTTCATGTTTTTAAGATTAAAAAGGTATTCATTCTAACATGTACCAAACAAATATATTGTAATGATGATTGCATCATGTTACATTCTTAACCATTGCATTCCATTACATTCCCATTCATTCTATGAACCAAACAGGCACTTAAAGATAGGAATATCGCTTCCCGCTATTTTTTGTGGGAACCCATTTTTCATCAGGATGAGAAAATCTTGAGGACAAATTTACCTCTAAAAGAGAAAATGACAAGTGATGGAGATGATAGAGAAGAGGAAGAATTAGGTGGAGCACCAAAATTATATGGCTGGAGTAAAAAATGAGAGGAAACACATTTAAATACTCTCTAAATTAAACCATTGAACATTAAGTGGACATTTGTTTAGATGAAGCAATCTAATCTTTTTGCTCAATGCTTGGAAAACATGTTCAATGTTGCTGGATGTGATTGACCTATGGAGGAGGAAGATTTTCGCATTACCTAATTCTTTAACAGCGACAAGTTCTTTAATGTTGCTAGGTTGTTGAGTATGGCCTTTCTCGTGCTATAAATGAGCAAATGCGAATTTAGTGCTTGCTCATTTTCTTATTATATCTTGAATTCCACTAGACATAACTTTTTCAATTTAAATTTAAATTATGCAAATGAACTATCATTGGAAAGTTTTTTGAATATAGTTTCTAATAAAATAAGACCCATTCAAAAAATATTTGTATTTTTAAAGCTATGAATAGAATAGGGAAAAAAGATAAGAAACGTTTTAGATATGACCTTTGATAAATGTTATTACAATATCCCACAAACTGTAATTGTTTTTGAAGTGAAACTTGTTATACATAAAAATAGCCTCTATAAGTTTATTAAAAACATCTACCTTAATAAAAAATATTCTCATATGAAATATACATGATTTTTAAAATCTGGTTCAAAATCTAGAGAAAAATGTTTTTGACCCTTGCTCACACTTTTGATGATACCTGTCAAATTACAAAGCATTTTTGAATGAATCTTGTTGCACTAAAAACTACACTCAAAGAGCTTTTCATTAATAGTTTCTTTGCCAATTTGAATTTATATTGAGAAAATTATATCAAATTAAAAATTGCTCTGTTTAGTGTGTTCAAGACAGAGTGTAACGAGTGTTTAAGTAAGACGTAACGGAATTCAAATTTTCTAAGAAAGTTAGAATGTATCGTGCATGAATTGGAATTTGTTGATGCAAATTCCACTTTACATCAATAAACACATGGTTTAGCATTAAGCTACGGTAACAAAATAAGTACATTCAAATTTCATGCAAGAAAACACGTATTTGCTATAGTGAATTTAAATTTTCTTGTGTAGATTTTTAGCATCAAATTTGATTTTGCTTACTTCTGTCCTTGTCATATTAAAGCTTAAATTTCATTGAAAATAACTTTAAATATAAAGTGGGCAAATGACCTAACACTAAAAAGCTATTTAAATCTAGTTTCTAATAAAATAAAATCAATTCAAAAATTTGAATTTGATCCACCTGCAAACAAAAATTGTTCTGTAGGAAGTGAAAATCTGAATTGACAGAGGCAACAAGAAGTATAATGACTGAAAACAAACAATTGGAGGCATTCAAAACTATAAGCATTCAAAAGACGGAGTTGCTTCAAGAGAATATAGGAAAGATATCTGGGATAAACTCACTTGTTAATGCCGTAAGACTCAAACAATCCGTTTAAACAATTTTTGCTTGTTACTATTTAATTTAGTTATTTATTTCATTTTTATTATTGTTAATTATTGTTGTTGTATAAGGTCATGGGTGTCAAAATAAAATAGATTTGATTTGGTATCTCAACAAATGCTATCTTCATATTATTATTTATATGATTTATTATTTAATTTTTTTAAAAATTAATATTTATAGTATTTTTATGAAAATCTATGATGATTTTTAATTCACATTGAGCATGTATTTATTTATTTTAAATTATAATTTATTATTAATTTAACATTTTGGATTTTTTAATTTTTTAATAATATTTTTATTCTTTAATGTTAAAAAGCAATTTTTGTTTTCTTAGAAATTTTTCAAGATATTTTCATCTAATCAAGCATAAAATTTTTCATCAACCCATTTTTATTCTAGTGCTTACCAAGTGTACCATCACCTAAAAATTTTTCATTCCATTCCTTTTCATTCTAACAAATTCTTCCTACCAAAACGGAGCGTAAGACAGAGAAGAAAAAGGAGGTGAGAGAAAGAAATGAATTTCATTCACTTACGCCCTTATGTGCTGAAGGCGCTCGTTCGTGAGCCCACACTATCTTCCTTATTTAATCATTCATAGGCTAATGACTTGAGGATTTGCAGTTTAGAGTCTTCCTAATTTTTAATGGTTGTCCTATGAAGTCACCAGCTGTATATACGTGTGTATGTATGTACATATGTAACTAGAACATATAACAATTTTGAACATCAAGCTGAAGGAAAAGCAACAATGTAGGTACAACAATAAAGAAGGAAGGGAATGCAATAGGCAAAAAAATGTGGAAAGTAGAAAAGAACTAATGCAACCAATGGATTGTATTGACTAGAATGAACTCAATTCCCTTGAGATTGTAAATGCAAACAAATAGTTAAAACTGTTGGGATGTTTATTGTGATCTGGTAGGATCATATATCAAACAATTGTATTTAGAAAAACCAAATAAAACGAAAAATGATTAACTAGAAAATAAATTTGACAATAAGGAACGAAATTCTAAGAAAATTTGTTTTTTAAAACCCAAACACAAAATCAGAAGGATGATTGAAAATAGGACCTTAAGGGAACTTGTCACTTACTATCCTAGTAATGAAGACAACTTGACATTGTCAAAGTATTTTTGCAAGAGTAGGAGGCTACAAAGCAACACTCACAAAAGAGAGAAATTCTCAAAATTGTTATTCACTCAAAACTTCTAGATTTCGATCTAGAAGAAAATCCTCTTTCAAAAGGTCTTATTCAAGGAACACGAGAAGGAAACTTTTGAAAAATAAAATATAATCCTAATTGATACGCAAGGGATGCCTTCTTGTTACTTTTTGAAAGTTCTTTGAAGTCATTTGAGAAAAGAAAGGAGGGAGGGATTTTGTCGCGCGACGGGGTGCTATGGTCGGCATGCAAATGAACTAACATGACAAAATTGGGCGTAAAGTTGTTTTGAATTATTTTCTCCACCAACTGGGCTTAAATCTGGTGGTGTTGAGAATATTTACTATGCTAGTTAGATGAACCATTGGTGTAGAAAGTTATTAATTTTATACAAATTAAATAATTTAAATAACTATTTACGCCGGTTATTTATTTTAACTCGTGTAGAAAGCTTTTTCTACGTTCGTTGCTTTGGAAACTTGTATCTAAGTTACTACCTCCGGTCCTAAATATAAGAGATAGTTGATTAGTTTGAGGAGTTTAAAAAAATAAGTTAAGTTAATTATTTGTAATAAATAGGTGTTGTCTTTCCTAAAATATTCTAATTAATTAAGTATATTTGCTAAAACTACTATTATTAGAGGGACTATTTCAGAAAAAAATGCATAAATATAAGAGATAAAATGAATTGGAGTGTTATATTTATGACCAAAATAAAAATTAAACGAGATATTATATTAAGGATCGGAGGTAGTATTTTATTCCCATTGAAGGGTTATTGTAGCAAGGTTTTTTTGTTCAAATACATCATGTCTGTGTATCCTATTTGTTCATGTGAAAGTTACTTATTTTTATACTTCTCTTTTTCTTTAATCTTTAAGTTGTAATTTTTTTTTCAGTGTGAAGTTTATTCTTATGCTTCATTTAAATTTCATACAATAAGCATTTTAGTTTTAATATGGACAGAATTTTGAAAAAAGAAACTATGAGTTATCAACAATGTGTACAAGTGAGCGTGTTGTAAATATAGATATACATGGAAAGTGCGTATTCGGTCATTCCTCTAAAACTTCATGACTTGATCTATATATATATAACCATTTCCATACATTATCATCATCAATTATACATGCCATTATTATCATTTAACATTACATCCATTTACAATAATTACAAGATGTAAAACTCAAGGCACATATATACATAGTTCTAACAAATACATAACCTTCTCCTTTGCATCTCCATTCCTTTACCTTGCCTCTTAATATTGTGGCCCCTAGTTGTTTTTTTTTTTTAAGATGAAACAATGGTATCCTCAAGTCACATTGGATTTGAGACTAATCCCTTTCGGGCCTGGAGCAGTTAAGGAATAGCCCTCCCAACAAGTGCGCTTCCCGAGATTGGAACTTGTGTTCTCTTTCTTACGGGGGTGAGGCCGCTATCACCTCAACCAACAGCTTGTTGGTTGGCCCCAATTGTATTTAAATATGGAATGGGTGAGATTTCAGGGGAAATCTCAGTAGCAAACTACACCAATTATGCATGGAAGAGAATTGCTTGGTAGATGACATGCTTGGCTTTAAAATGTCATGTTTTCATTCTTGTAAACACTACAAAAAAACATGTATTTTGTAGCGGTTAATATATGACGTTTCTAGTGGTTTTAACCGCAACAAATAATATTTGCAGCGGTTAGATAAACCGCTAGAAAATCAAGGGCAAGAAACAGATTTCTAGCGGTTATAGGAACCGTTACACAGTATGGTCAAAACGCCAAAACTTTCTAGCGCTTAGAATAACCGCTAGAAAAACAAGTAGCTGAACGGCAATGAGATGAAATTTCTAGCGGTAATAAACTGCAATAAATCACAAAAAAAGTTTTAGTGGTTGATTAACAACTAGAAAGTTTTGAGCGAAATTTCATTTTGTCGGGAAACAAAAATTTTCATTTTGGCGCCAAATATTTCTAGCAATTACTAACCGCTAGAAAGTTCGAAGGAAATCAAATTTTGTCAGGAATTGAAATTTTGGAATTGGCGCAAAAAACTTTGTAGTGGTTAGGAATAGCAGGAAATGCAGCGGCAAATTTAAATTTTACGAAATTTGTCCCTTTCATTTTCTAGCGGTTTTGGAACCGCTAGAAAGTTTATTCCAGATGAAAAAAATAAATTGAGATGTTTGATTATTAAAGAATATAATATTA